TGTGTGTGTGTATGGCAGTGTGTGTTTACGGTAAACAGGGGAAAACTGAGCTGAATTGTGTTTCCATGTTAGTGTGCAAGTCGAGCAGCCCCTCTGCAAACTCCCACAGATCTGAACCACAGCCTTGACATGCATCACTGCCAGCACACTGGACACGCTACACACAGAAAGCACTATGGAGCATCTGTGTACAGCGTTCAACTATAGAGTGACCCTGAAGCATCTTCAGTGTGAGACTCTAAACAACACAAAACAAATCATTTAAATACATGAAGTCAATGAAGAACATGGTTTTATGTTAGGCTTCTCACACTGATGACAACAAATGACTGGAAATCAGGGCATTTTTGCTTCCCCCCAAAAAACGATACAATGATCAGTTCGTAAAAGAAAGTTTTTTCTTAGTGTGAAGAACATTTTAAAAATACCTTTTTCACAATATTTTATTATCATGAAAGTGACCTAATGATATTTTCTATCCCTAAACCCTCACCAAATCCTTTTAGGTTTTACTATCGGCCTCATAATCAAACTTCATAATCTTGGGATTGTATGTGAAATGCATGTACAAGCTATCCTGTATCTCAGTTATCTTCAAAAATATTTAATATCAAATAAAAAATAACATTTAGTATAAATCAGGCTTTACAACAGCATCCAAAAACAGCATGTCCAGTATTTACACTGTATAAAGAAAACTGTAGAAACAAACCTTAAATATGCTTTTGTGTGAAGAGATGCTCACGGTTTAACATTCGATAAGAGCACGAGAGTGGAATATTTACAGTGATGTTTCTCATATTGCTTTTATCTGTGAAGGGTTTGCGTGTTTTGCAGTATCAGAAATGATTGACATACAGTATATTGTCATATATAAGGCCTGTCTGTCGTGGGGAGTCGTGGCCTAATTGTTAGAGAGTCGGACTCGTATTCCAAAGGTTGTGGGTTCGAGTCTCGTACCGGCAGGGATTGTAGGTGGGGGGAGTGAATGTACAGTGCTCTCTTCCACCTTCAATACCACGACTGAGGTGCCCTTGAGCAAGAACTGAACCCCCAACTGCTCCCCGGGCGCCGCAGCATAAATGGCTGCCCACTGCTCCGGGTCTGTGTTCAAGGTGTGTGTGTGTTCACTGCTGTGTGTGTGCACTTTGGATGGGTTAAATGCAGAGCGCTAATTCTGAGTATGGGTCACCATACTTGGTCACCTGTCACATGTCACGTCACTCACTGTCTGCAGTTCAGTTCAGTTCAGCATATTTGTTTGAAGTCTTTGCATGCATTCAGATCTGATTCTGATACTGGCTGATGAACTGATATCTGAGTATTTGTGCAAATGTAACTGTGACTGACTCATGTAAAGGACCGAATGCTGAAATGCTGAAAAACACTTATGCAAAGACCTCTTTCTGCTCACGATTTCAGGTCCATATCGCAAAAGCGACTGTCGTGTTTGAAACCGTTTCTCTTTCAGGCTGCATGAGGGTTTGTGACTGGGTTTGTGACTGCCTTTAATTAGGTTCGATTTGTCACGATTCAGTCCAGAGCCTGAAATGTGCTCGGGCTTCAAGAGAGCTTACGCGATGACGGAGAGCTTGAGTTTGGGGTAGATGGATTTGATGGGTGAGGTGGTGGCGTTCCCGGACGAGATGGTCGTCTCCAGTCCCTGGCGGTTCACGTCTGTCTTCGTGAAGCTGATGCGGATGCCGATCTTCCTCACGCGGCCGTCTTTGGTCATCAGGCAGCGGCGGCAGAGCAGCTTCAGAATAGCCCTGCGCATGTCTCTGCTCGTCAGCGTGTAAATGACGGGGTTAATGAGGGAATTAGTTATGGCCACGCCCAGGAAGTAATCAGCCTTGAAGAGAACAGGACACGTCTTCACGGGACACACGAAGTCCATCAGCAGGAGCACGAACAGCGGCATCCAGCACACGATAAACACTCCCACCACGATGGTGACGGTCTTCAGCAGAGCCATGTACTTCAGCGAGCGATGGCCGTAGGGTTTGCGCTGAACGCAGCTCGGGTTCTGCGTGTTGGACTTGACGAAGTGAAAGATGCGTGCGTACAGAAGGACGATGGCCAGCAGGACGGTCAGGAACACAAACACGCAGAAGAAGATGTAGCTCTTGGCGTAGAGTGGCAAGACGGTGGAGCACCACTTGAGATGATGCAGACAGTTCCAGCCCATAATAGGCAGAGCGCCTAGCAACAGCGACAGCGCCCAGCTGGCGGCGATCAGAGCGAACATGCG